GAGAGGCAGTTTGGCCCTTCCTTCTCGATAGATGCAGTCCACGTGGACCCAGTGATCCGCGAGAGCTCCCTGGAGGAGATTTTGAAGCCTTCGCCTGACCTGACCATCCAGCATCAGCTCCAGCAACCTTGCAGCCGTGTAATCAGTCTACAGAACCTCTTTGACATGGATGCCTGTGGGCGGCAGGTGAAGACAGTGGTGCTGTTTGGTACTGTGGGCACAGGGAAGAGTACTCTCATCAAGAAGATGGTGGTGGACTGGTGCCATGGACGCCTGCCCCACTTTGAACTGGTCATCCCCTTCTCCTGTGAGGATCTGTCCCAGAGCAACAGCCCCATCTCCCTGCGGCGCCTAATCACCAAGAAGTACCAGCACCTCCGGGATGTGGTGCCGATGCTGGGCACTTCCAACCTCAGGATGCTTTTTATCCTCAATGGCTTAGAGCGTCTCAACTTAGACTTCCGTCTGGCTGGCACGGAGCTTTGCTGTGATCCCAATGAGCCTGTACCTCCCACTGCCATCGTGGTCAACCTGCTGCGGAAATACCTTCTGCCAGAGGTCAGTGTCTGTCTTCCTTCAGTTCCTTTGTGCCAGAAAAGCTGGACATGAGTTCTGGGGCATTGCAGGCATGGCCCCTAGCCCTTAGGCTGGTTGCTCGTAGCCCAGCTTGGCTGCAAGTGAACAGGCATCCTTCATCCCTGGAGGGACTTGTCAAGGTGTCTTCATGTTACAGTTGCTGGTTTGTCTTTGTGGAGCCTTTAGGGCAGTGGGAAATTCTAGAAAGACAAAGATTAGCTGAGAATCTGCCTGGCTGAAGCTGTCCAGACTATTTTTGTGTGTAGCACTGAATGAGGAAAGCTCTTTTGTCCTGTCTTTCTGGGATAAGTTTAAGCCAATGTGTGTGGTGAGCAATACCTTTAACCACAGACCCTGATTCTTGCACTCCCATATGAGGGTCATAGGCTTGACATCCTGCTGAAGATAGTTCAAAGGTACTGCTGCAAACTCATCATGTCCTCTGCTTCCAGGCCAATATCATTGTCACCACACGCCCATCAGCTGTGCGACGGATCCCAGGCAAGTATGTGGGCCGCTACGCTGAGATCTGTGGCTTTTCTGACACCAACCTCCAGAAGCTGTACTTCCAAATGCGTCTGAGCCAGCCTGGCTGCACTGGAGAAGATGGCAGTGGTAACAGCCCAGGGAGCAGTTCAGGTGAGCAAGACAACTTGGTGGAGATGTTGTCAAGGAACCTGGAGCGCCACAACCAAATTGCTGCTGCCTGCTTCCTGCCCTCTTACTGCTGGCTGGTCTGTACAACACTGCACTTCCTCTACTTCACCAAGATGGTACCTCCCAGCCAGACCCTAACTGGTATCTACACCAGCTTTCTGAGGCTCAACTTCAGTGGGGAGGTACTAGATAGCACTGATCCCAACAACATCTCCATGATGAAGTATGTGGCCAAGACGGTGGGCAAGCTGGCCCACGAAGGGGTGATGTCCCGCAAGACCTGCTTCTCAGAGGAGGACCTGCAGCAATGCTTTGAGGTAGAGATGAAGACCGAAAGTGAGCTCAACCTCCTGGAGGTTTTCCGCAGTGATGTCTTCCGCTTCTTCCTCACACCATGTGTGCAACCTGGCAAAGAGCACACCTTTGTCTTCACTATTCCTGCTATGCAGGAATATCTGGCAGCCTTGTATGTAGTTCTGGGTGAGAAGAAGACCCTGGCACAGCGGATAGGGAAGGAGATGTCAGAGATCTTTGGGAAGGTAAGTGAAGATGTTGTTGTGGTTCTGAATATCATCTCCAAGGTGCTGCCATTGCGCTTCCTGCCAGTGCTTCTTAATCTGCTCAAAATCTTCCCTCGCTACTTCTCCCGACTGAGTGGCAAGGACCGGGACACAATTGCCCGAACCATGGCGGAAGAGATGTTCAAAGAGGAGGACTATTTCAATGATGATGTCTTGGACCAGATCAATTCCAGCATCTTGGGCACAGAAGGCCCCATGCGCCACCCCGACGAGTGGGTCTCTGATGATGAGGTCTTTGAGCTTTTCCCCATTTTCATGGGTGGGATCCTGTCCCGCCGTAACCGTGCCATCCTGGAGCAGCTAGGCTGCTCCATCAAGAATTTGGCAGCCTTTGAAATTGCTAAGGCCATGAAGAAGACAGTCATCAGGAATAGCCGTAAAGGGCTGCCCCCATCTGAACTGATGGACTACCTTTTCTTCCTGCACGAGTTCCAGAATGAACGCTTCACAGCTGAGGCCATCCGCTCCCTCCGGACTGTCAACCTCTCATCTGTCAAGATGACCCCTCTCAAGTGCTCTGTCCTGGCATCTGTCATGGGCACAACCAGCCATGAGGTGGAGGAGCTCAACCTGACCTCTTGCAATCTTGATAGCAGCAGCCTGAGGACCCTTTTCCCTGTCCTGCTGCGGTGCAAGGCTCTCTAGTGAGTACAATCTCCTCCTGCCCTTGAGCAACACTCAGAAAGCAGGGCTTGCCTTCAACTCTCTCTGTCTTGGGGAACATCAGGAGCTGGAGCACAGCAAAAGCAGGAGAAAGGCGTGCTCGCCCTTGTTTGCCCTCAGTGCAGACTACAGCCTCCAGTATGCACTGTTCCCTGAGCAGCGTTGCAGGGCACTGCACGCTGGGACTTGGAGTCCCAACACGCCCTGCAGCAGCGCTCTCTGCGTTGGGCTCCTCAGGCTGGCCTGCTGGCTTCTCTGGCAAGCCCAGGTCTCTCCCATGGCTTGGAGGTGTCTCCATGCCCAGGAGACACCCAGCACAGCCATGTAGCAGACTCTGCTATATCTGCGCAGGAGAGAGGCAGCTAAGGGTGGATGTCTCGACCATGCAAAGCGCTTGGAGTCCGTTTGTAGACCCGCAGTATTCCCAATGCCCAGGGGGTGGCAGGCCAGACTCAGAAGAGACGGACTCAGCTGTACAGCTGTGCTGTGCACAGCTCCCTTCCTCTGGATGCTCTGAAGAGCTTGGTAGGGTCCTACTCTCTCCCCTCAGACCTTCACTTGTCACGCAGAGGCCCCGAGTTCCCTTTCCTTGCCCTGCTGGCACTGGAACTGCTGACTGATGCTATGCAAGCTCTAGTGGGATCGTGGGTGCAGCTGCGTGCACCTTTTGAGAGAGGAAACCTTGCCTGGACTTCTCTGGGCTCCCAGGTGGGAGGGTGACAGTGAGCGCAGGAGAGGACCAGGGTGATTGGAGGGGGTGAGGGTGCCAGCCCTACACGTAACAGCTGTTTTGATCCTGTCATCCCCATCTCTTGCTCTGCACTAGTTTGCAGCTGAACAGCCTGGGTCCTGATGCCTGCAAGGAAATCCGTGACCTACTCCTGCATGACAAATGTGTGGTGAGCAACCTGCGGTGAGTGCATAGAGAGAAGGGGCGCGTTGCCTCTGTGCTCCCATGAAAGTGTCCCTGCTGCCCACCCCATTCCCTGCGTGTGGGCCTCGTGCCCAGCCTTGGCCATTCCCCTGAACTCCTGTGTCTGCAGGCTGGCGAACAACCCTGTGGGTGAGCAGGGGGCACAGTTCCTGGCCGAGGCACTGGCAGGCAACCGGTCGCTGACCCGCCTGTCCCTGCTGCACACCTCACTGGGGGACCGGGGCGTGGAGGTCATCGCTCAGCACCTGGCCAAGAACCAGCACCTTCAGGAGCTCAACCTGGGCTACAACTCCCTGACAGATGTGGCTGCCTCGGCGCTGGTGGAGGTGGCTAAAAAGCACGCCACGCTGAACACAGTGCAGTGAGTTCCTTGTCTCTTCTTTCTCATGAGCAGTACATCCAAACCAGCCTCGCTCCCCTTAGCAAGAGATATGGAGAGTCCCTTTCTGCCACTGCGTGCTGCCTCTCAGCCCTCACAGCATTTCTCTGCTCTTTTTCTCCCATGCTGCAGCCTGTACTTTAACGACATCAGTGAGGAAGGCAAACGGGAGCTTCACACACTGCGCTTGGATCAGGATGGCATCAGGGTGCTGGTCTTCCTCACAGCGGGCACCGATGTCTCTGACTACTGGTCCAACATCCTGAGCATAGTGCACAAGAACCTGCCTTTCTGGGACCGTGAGCGAGTTCGGCAGCACCTTGGCATCATCCTGCAGGACCTGGAGAGCAGCCGGAGACAGACTGCCAACCCCTGGAGAAAGGCCAAGTTCCTGCGAGTGGAGACGGAGGTCAAGAGGATGCTTGGGAAACTCCAGCATGGAAGCCTCTAACCAACCATCTGCTTACCTGACCAGGGAGGGAACTGCACTGCTGAGGAAGAAACACTGGAGTGTCCTGAGAAGCACAATGCCTGCACCTGTATCCTGCTGGAGATGCCCAGTGGTCAGGTGCTACCAAGGCTGTTAAAGGTGCTGGGTATGTGGGGCTCAGCCCCACGCTGTGGGCAAGGCTGAAATGTGGGAAAACTGCGCACCGACCAGGCCAGGAGAAAATCGGGCTTGCTCTAGGCTCAGAGAGATCCCCGGCTGGCATGTGACGTGAGTGGGGCAGGACTGGGCCTTGCTTGTGAAATCTTTGGTAGCATTAAAGTGCCCACTGTTGTTTCCCTAAAGCATGCTAGTGCATAAACTTAGCCTCCTGTCCAGGCCCTTCCCGGAGGAGGAATGCGGAGGAGCGGGTATGTCTGTCCCTTCCGCGGCTGCCTCGGAGGGCTCTGGTGCTTCCCCGCCTCATGAGACTTGGCCTGGGCAGCCGCCCTGCTTCTGCTCCAGCCGCTGACAGGCTTGAGGTGATCTTTCCCTCTGGGTGCTGCCCCTGGGAGCAGCTGCAAGCCAGGACACTCAGGGGCTGTTTCCAAGCCCTGCAGGGTGCTGCTCCAAACCCACCTGGGCACAGGCTGGCAACGGGAGGGCAATGGAGATGCCAGAACTGTTTAACCATTAAACCTGGGGCGTCTTGGTGGAGGCGGGGACACTGGCTTCTCTGCCACTTCACCCTGTACCTTGCTCCCTCTTGCAGTCCTTGCAGCCATGAAGCAAATGAAAGGTATGTGCTGGGGCTGAGGAGCAGGGGTGCTTAGTCCTCTGGATACCCTGTCCACATACATGTCTCCAGGCCCTGCTTCTCCTGCGGCGTCAGAGCAGAGGGAGGTGGTGGGAAGGTGCTGCAAGCATCCTGGAGAATGCAGAGGTGTCCTGTGGCAGGGACTCCTCTCCATGGGGTTGGAATCTTTGGGCTGGAAAAGGTGAAGAGAGGTTTCTTAGGGAGATATGCAAAGGAAAACTTCTGTGCCCACCTCTGGGCTACAGCCTCCTATGCCACCTCAGAAGCTCTCAGCACCCTGATGCCCCTCCTCATCACCAGCCCAAAAGCCGGATGACCCCTACACAGGGTTAGCCACCATCTGCACACCACTGTCCGAGCCCCCCTGGCTTGAGTGCTGCCGGAGCTGTTGGACTGGGTGCCGGGTGCCTGTTGGACCTGAGCAGCGAGTGTCCTGCCGCTCTGACACACAAGACGACGCTGCTGGCAGGGCCAAGGGTGGAGTCGTGCCCAGGCAGGGCTGTGCCAGGAGGTTCTCCCAGCCAGGGGCAAGAGGGAAGGCTGTGTGGACCTTCCCTGTGTGGACATGGACCACATGTCCCTGTGCCCCTGCCTATCCTGTGATGGAACAAGCCTGGAGCATTTGGGATCCGCTCCTGTGCTGACCTCTTCTCTCCCTCTGCAGGGCTTGAGAGCGACACGAAGTCCATCCTGTAAGTGCTGAGCTTTCCTCTGGTCAGGGGCTCCCTGGGGCTTATGCTGGCGAAGTGGGTACCTTGAGGGGTTGTGGGGTGTTGTGGGCCCCCAGCTGCCTGTCCTTGGAGTGTCTTTTCCCTGAGCTGTTAGCCAAGGAGAGGTGCAGGGAGGCTCCAGGAGAGAGGTGCCTTACCTGCTTTGACCAAGGAAGGGGAGGCAGAAAAGGGGCTCCCTGCGACAGGAACAGGGAGAGTAGGGATAAAAGCCATGCTGCTGCACTGATGTGGCCTCTCCTGCCTCTTAATATTTCAGAAAATTTGAGTTTAACCCCAAAGATGGGATCGACAACCCTGCCTTGTCGCTGGCTGAGGACACGGGTAAATACCCACATCTTTGGGGGGTTTCCTGTGTCAGTACAGCGAGGTGGACAGCTGGGTACCCCAGAGGAATTGCTTGAGTCTGAGATCCCTTAAGGTAGGGAATAGTGGGGTGGCGAATATGTAAGGCCAAAGGGAGCAGTGGGAGCCCCCAACCCTGGCAAAGGCAGGAAGACCATGTTAGGTGCCTGCAGGGCCCCGCTCATGGGCTGCACCCACCACACAGATGGCGAGGGTCTGGGGGAGCCCCGCTTCTATCTGCTGAACAAGGACAGCAGCGAGACCTTTGGCTTCTGCCTGCACAAGGAGCTGGGCTGCCAGGGACACATCATCCGGCAGGTTGAGCTGGGGGGGCTGGCGCAGCGCAGGGGGCTGCAGGATGGGGACCGGCTCCTCCAGGTGAACGGCCACTTCGTGGACCACATGGACCACAAAAAGGTAACCTGCATCAGGATGCAGGACAGAGGGTGTCCCCACATGGAGCTGCCCCCTGGGGTGGCCTGCCCCTCCAGGGCACTGCTGGGAGGAAACCGTTCATCACCTGGCCCCTTGCAGGTGGTGCAGAAGATCAAGGCCAGTGGGAACCAGGTCCTCCTGGCGGTGCTGGACAGCAATACCTATGAAACAGCAAAAGCACTTGGCAGGGACCTGTCCCAGATGCTGCCGGCTGACATCCGCCCGCGACTTTGCCACATCACAAGGGACAAAAGTGGTTTTGGCTTCAGCATCTCAGGGCCGGAAGGTAAAAGCGGGGTTGGGGTGGCAGGGCCCTGAGACGCTGCTGTGGCAGCACCTGCATTGCCAGTGTGCTCCGGGCAGGCGCGAAGGGCACCTTCCAGCTGTCGGTGCGGCGCGACGGGCCGGCCGAGCGCGCGGGGCTGCCCTCGGGCTCCTGGCTCCTGGAGCTGAACGGGGACAGCGTGAGGAGCTACTCGCACACACAGCTCGCCAGAAAGGTGGGTGCTGCCGGTGCACAAAGGGAGGGCAATGGAGGGCAACTGCGCTGAGCACTCTGTGCTGCTTCCTCACCCAGCTCAAGCGGAGCGGCAGCAAGATCACGCTGCTCGTGGCATCGAGTGTGGCGGAGGAGTTTTACCGCCTGTGGGGTCTGCGGGTGACAGCCGCCTTGGCGGATGCCTCCTGGCTCCCCTTCAAGGTCCGGAAGCTGAGCATGGTGAAAGGGCCAGATGGTTATGGGTTTCTGCTCAAGGAGGAGGACTGTAGCTTGGGAACCACAGGTGAGGTTTGGGAAGAGCTGGGAATGCCCACACTGGCACCCTGTCCTCCTCAGTGCTCTGGGATGCCCCAACTCAGTGAGCATCTCCTCTCTCACCTCCATGCCCCACGGTGCTAGGCCAGTTCCTGTGGGAGGTGGATGCCGGGTTGCCAGCCGAGAGAGCAGGCATGAAGGAAGGGGACCGTCTGCTGGCAGTGAACGGTGAGAGCATCGAGGGGCTGAACCACCAGGAGACAGTCATGAGGATCCGTGCCCAGGGGGACCAGGTGACACTGCTGGTCATCGACTCTGCTGGTGACAAGTTCTACCGCTCGGTAGGTCTGGGGACTTGGTTTGATGAAGGATGAGATGCCAGGATGGATTTGTTGTCCCCAAGCCTGGATGCAGTGAGATCTCCTCCAGGGCTGGTCTGCAAGGCGCCTGCAGATGCAAGGCTAACACCCATTTGCTTTTACAGATTGGGCTGTCCCCACTGCAGTTCTTTGAGGACAGCGACCCTGGCCCAAGCTCCTGCACTACCTCCTTGCCCTCTCCTGAACGCTCTCCTGAGCTCCATCACCTTGATGTAGGACCAGAGAGTCCCAGCTCTAAGCTCATGACCAGTGCTGCCGCTAAAGATGTTGAACGGGTAATCCTGCTCATCCCATTTTGCCAGCCCCATTCACACCCCAGCCACTGCTCCAGCTCACAGCTTGCTTTCTGCCCTGGTACATCCCCATGCCATGATCAACTCATGGGGCAGGGCTGTCCCCTTGCCAGGGGGTTGGGAGGCGGGCAGGCAAATGTCACAGCCAAGCTGCCCGTGTGTCCCTGTTCTGTCCCTGCAGAGCCAGCGCCTGGAGGAGCAGAGGAAGCCGCACCAGGCCTTTTAGTGTCCAGAGCTGACACTATCCAGCTCCAGGAAGTTTTCCCTGCAGAGAGGCTTGATCCAGGCCAGCTCCAGCCAGTCGATGCCCTGGCCCAGCTCCCCAGGGAGCTCAGCATGGCTCTGTTGGGTCGGGACTTGCAACATCGTATCTCTCTCAGATTTGTCTCCTGTGTCCCTGGCTGGACCCAAGTTGTTATTAACTATCATGGTGGATTTTTGCAAAGCCTGACCCATGCCTTTGCCTGTCCAGCTGTCTCCAGGAGGTATTCATGGACGATGTGTTAAACCCTCACCCCCAGTCAGCTCCAGGCCCTGACCAGCTCCTAGGAGAGCTGAGGTGCTCCCCTGCAAGCTATGACCTAGGCACTGGGCCACCTGGGGCTCCATTCAGCTGAAGGGCTGGCCCCAGGGCCAATGTGCAAAGGGGAAAGTGAGAAGCAGAGGCCGTTGGACCCTAGAGGAAGCCCCTAGGCTAACACGGGCTTCCAGTGCTCAGCCTGTTGGCTCTGGTTTGCTTCTCCAGGAACATGTTCTCTTCACCCCGTCTGCAAACCCAGGGCTGATGGGTGCCTGCTCCAACACAATGCTATTCCCCTGTTCTCCTTGGTGTGTGAATAAAAGAAAATCCATGCTGCTGCTCCTACGAATAGCGCTATGGAGAGTTCTGTGTGGCGGTACCCATCTCTTCCCAGCACTGCCTGGTTCCTTCCAGCTGGGCTAGGACAAGGTCCAGGCTATGATGGAGGGAGAGGTGACAGTGAGGAGGAGCTGCCCTGCTGCCCCTGACAGCCACCCTCAGCCTCTTCCCCACTGATGTGAAGGATCTTCTCATACCCCGTAGTGCTGAGCCTGTCCCACAGCTGGGCAATAGTCTCATCCTTCTCTGCCAGGACCCGGGCAGCTGTCTCCTGTGCCTGCTGCTTCTCCCGGAGACTGACAGCTGTGGGGGAATAGGCACAGATGCTGGGCATGGTGAGCAGATAGACACTGGCACCTGCTGCTGCAGGGAGCCAGGAGTGGGCATGCAGTGGGTCTTACTAAGCCATTCCTGAGACTCTTCACCTCCATTTCCAAGCTGCAGCTACGGCATGCTGCCTGCTTCTCCAGCTCCTGGTGGGCCGGGTCCTTGCTAGGGACAACAATGGGGACAAAGGGGCAGATCCCAAGCTCAGATCCCAACAGGGGGTTGTGCAAGCCTGGATCTGAGGACTCTGCTTGTGATTCACACCTCCGGCACTGCTGTGCATGGCAGGGGAAGGACAGCACTGCAGGGGCAGGAGGGAGCCCTGACGGAAAGCTTTACCTTTCCGGTGAGTGAGCGTGGGAGGGTGAAAGCCTGTGCAGAGCTTTGCATGTGGCAAAGACCACAAACCCCTGGCTGAGGTTTTACGTCAGCTGCTATGTTCCAGGGGCCTGGAACATCTGCCCTATGAGCAAAGACTGATAGAGCTGGGCCTGTTCAGCCTGAAGAGAAGGCTGAGCGGGGATCTAACCAGGGTGTATAAATACCTCAAGGGAGGATGGGGTCAGTCTCCTTTCAGTGGTGGCCACTGATAGAACTGGAGGAAACAGCCACAAGTTGAAGCACCAAAATTTCCACAGGAACTTAAGGAAAAACTTCTTAACAGTGAGGCTGACAGAGCAGTGGAACAGGCTGCCCAGAGAGGCTGTGGAGTCTCCTTCCCTGGAGATCTTCAAAACCCACTTGGATGCAGCCCTGTGCCATGTGCTCTAGGTGACCCAGCAGGAGGTCTCTTCCAGCTTTAAGGGTTTTATGGATCTATGATGCTATAAGGCCCTTCTCGAGCACTAGAAGAAATGCCTAGCAGATGCCTCATGCAGGCAAGGAAGCCACTGCCTTTATCTCTTCTGCCTGCATGGAGGATGGACAGCAGGAGTGCAGCACGTCCACCTCTTGTGCCTTCATATACTGACAGTGTGGGAGTGAGCAGAGGCGGTCAGAAAGGACGTGTTTTGGAACTGTTAGCACTATCAGGGACAGAAGCAAGACAAGGAGAATTTTACCCAGCAACTGAGGCACCACAATATGAAATCCTTGGGTCAGCCTCAGTGTGCCTTCCAGCTCTGCCCTCACCTACATACATGTCTTTCTTGTCCTCTCGCGCCTGATCCAGTGCTTCGTCCAGGTCCCACAGCCTGTACCTGTCCACACTTTGCTGTCCACACTTGCCTGCCAGGCCATGTCCCTCAAGAGAGCTGAGAGCCAGAGATGCTGGTGGCAGCTATGGGGACAACATGCTTCCCAGCAGGGTGACCCAAGCCAGGCCAGAACCCAGCACCAGGAGCCAAAGGGCATTATCCAAACCACAGGGTGGCTGTACCCCTGCCTGTCCCTGCCCTGGCTCCTCCTGGCCTTACCCATGGGCTTTTTCAGCATGTTGACCTCCAGGGCTGTGCTCCTCTTCGTCACTTCAGCTTAGCTCTGTGTACCCCAAAGGAAGAAGGAAGCAATGAAGTCAAGGACAAGTTTTTGGTGGGGTTGGGCACAGCGATTCTGCTGTCAATTCACTCTAGGGAACTCCGCTTTGGGACTTTTGCCCCAGGAAAATTTGACTGGGACATGCTTCCTGCTGAAATCCCTGTGCAGGGGCATTATTTGTGCATAGACCATTGAGACTCCTTTCAAAACCCCGCACTGCACACTCCTCCAGCCTAGCACATACATCCACTTTCAGAGCCCTGTCAGAGAAACCAGGGTTGGGAGAGCCGCCCTCTCTGACTCCCGGGAGCCCCAGGACTGGAAGAGCATGGGGCTGAGAGGGCTTAGGGCAGGGCCCTCTGATGCTGCTGCTTCTCATTAGTCTGGAGGCGTAACTATGCCGCTGCCCCAGCCTGAGCTGGGAAGGGCCGGAGAAGCTGAGAAAGCAGCAGAAGAGCTGTCCCCTGGGGCTGCGGTGCATTCCCGGGCCCCGGCGTTCCCAGCGCCTGCTTCCGGCAGCCCCCGCAACGTCTGCCCCGTGGGGCAGGGACAGGAGCGGCACGGCACGGCATGGCTGGATGGAGAGGCACAGGGCTCCCACTCACCTGCTGAATTTCTCTTCTGCTGCAGCTTCACTCCTCTTTTCCCCTTTCCTTTGCTCTTCAGAGACATCCTGCCTCAGGAGGAGAGAGCAGTGAGAGATGCTGGTGCCAGTGGTTTCTCCCTGAAGCTGACAGGGCCTGGGCCATCTGCTCCAGGCTCTGGTGTAGGAACTGAGCCTGGGCAGACTGACAGTACACAGGACTTGTGCAGGAGAGACAGGAAGCAGTGGGATCTCTGGCATGAGAAGAGACCCATGGACACCGTGCCTTCAACAGGTGGGCTCTCTGGTCAGCCCCTGTCCTGCGTGGACCCTCAGTCACTGGAGATTTGGCAGCTGCCTTCACACCAGCCCCTGCTGCTGTAGCAACAGCCTTTGCAGCGAGGGCAGGTAATGCTCTCTGGCCCCACACCTGTCTCAGCCTTGGAGTGGCTAAGTGTTTCGTTCCCATGACAGAGAGGCAGCCAAACAAGGCGCCCTGCCTCCACATCCAGTCCCGGCTCCTTGGCAGCCCACTGGCCAGCTCCAGCTGCAGGCTGGCAAGACACAGGCCCCACGAGGTGGGCTGTTCCCGAGCAAGCAGCAGCCCCAGCACTAGTGCAGCTGGACCAAGGGGAAGGGGATGCGGAGAGGCAGCTTGACTCTCCCAGGTCACAGCCTGAGATGAGCCCAGCACCTCCCTCCCTTCCTGTGCTGGCTCTTCCCTCTGGCACAGCCTGCAGCTCCGCACTGCGAGCGGAGCCTAGGGGACTGCCTCTGCGTTTTGATCCTCTTCATAACACAGGAGGGGAAGGAAGGGAGGGGATATTAAACTGTTGTTTCAGCTCAAGACATAATTAACCCCAAATACCAGGGGGAGGCCAGGTGATTGCTGGGTGTGCTGCAGTTTCCAAGCAGGAAGCAGAGCTCACATCATGTATCGGACACGTGTGAGGTTGGGAGCTGGAGCCTGCAGCCACCTGACCTGGGGACTAGCGGGAAAAGGATCGCGGGAGCTGTTCCCTGGATGGGGCAGGAGTGGAGGCTGCTCCCTGACACGGAGCCTGACGTGCACCTTGTGCACACGAATCCTGACATCTCACATGCACACGAACCAGTGCAGGGCTGAGAAACTGGAGCACTCAGACATGTGCACAGGCCTGGCAAGGAGGTGTGCGGCACACACAAGGAGGGAGAAGCACACGCTTGTGGCCAGCCCTGGCTGACCCGAGCACAGGCAGGGCTCCGACACACGACCGCACACGAGCCGTGGCCCTCACACAGGCAGCCCAAAGCATCCGGCCGTACCCTTGGCTGCCGGCTGCCAGGCTGGAAGGAAGCGATTGCACAAACCCAGCGTGACTTGGCTTTGCAGGGCAGCAGGGGCAAACGCGCTCCATGCAGATGGCCAGGGCACAGGGCTGCAGTACAAAGTGCATCCCTGGCCTGGCATGCAGCTTCGGGCATGCACTTGGCCCTTGCTACTGTCCCGCAGGACCTGCAGAGCTCTCCTCCTGGGCTGCTGCTGCTCCTGCACATCTGGAGCCAGCCTGAGCCTTGGACTGGGGTGCTGGGTTCCCCTTTCCCTCAGGAAGGGAACAGAGCTGAACGACAGCAACCCTTGCTTGAAGTCTGACATGTAAATGCAGCTGTGACTTGGTGTGAATCATGCCCAGAGAAGTAGATAGTCAGGAATGCAATTTCTCAAGCATATTCCCTGATCTCTTTGGAGAGGGGCCATAGTGATTTTTGTATTTGGCTCTGTGAAGCTGGTGTAACCCTCCCAGCCCTCTCCCCAGGTTCTTGTGGTAACCCAGAGCTGGCCAGGGCACCCTCCGGTGGTCAGTCCGGCTTGACTATTAGCCAGAATCCATTAGCATCTAATGGGAAAAGCCTCAGGAACACGGCCTCAGTAAATGTTGACATATTTGAGGTCAATATAATCCTTAGGAAAATTTGCCCAGGTAATTAAAGCCAGACAAGGAGCTGCCTGTCCCAGAAATATTTACTAACCTCTACTGAAAGCAGTACAATCAAGACAGCGTTTTATAACCAATTTGTACAGGGCTTCCTCATGCATGCCCGGCACTGCACACAGCTGGGCGCTTCTCTGAGGCTGCAGATGTGCAAGCTGTGCAGTGCAGGGACTCTCGGGGAGCTGCGTGTGAGCGGCTGTCCTCGTCTCAAGCCTGGGCCTGTGGAGAAAGGAAGCTGCTGGAGCCGAGCAGCACGCGGCGGCCCCGGAAAGCAGAAGTCTGGTGTGTGTGGAGCCAGGGCTGGGGTGCGAGGCGAGAACCCCAGGCACGCAAAGCGGGCGCGCAGAGCTCCTCATAATGAGAAAGTTTGTGTTAATTCGACAATGAAGTCAGATTGTGTCAGTGCGGTAGTTCTTATAGGGGAGTGCATAAATATATCATCAGGAAGAAAAAAAATAATGAGAAGAAAGCAAGCAAGAAAAAGAAGCCTCAAGGCAGAAGTTTATTAGAACATATCTTTTTTAGTCAAACGTTTCCCAGCGAAAGCAGAGTCTTGCCGTGCTCACACTGCTACACTGACAGCACGCGCTCAGTGCTGCTTCCTGATTTTGGCACTGGAAGTATTTTATTAATTCGGAGAAAAGGGAACGTGGCTTTTAAAAAAGGGGAAATAACCCTCTTTTGCAAGGTCTGAAATATAACTGTGTCTGTGCCAGAGCAGGCCTGGGGGAGGGAGACTGTTGGAGAGACACTCTCAAGGACCATGGATTTGTCCCAAAGCATTGTTTTTTTTTTTTTTTTTCAGAAAAACCTATCATTGCAAAAATCATCTGTCCAGATCTTATTTTATTTTACTCTATTATATTATATTTTGTTTGGTTTGGTGCTGTTAATTTATTGTAATGTATTATAATTTATTGTAATGTATTTAAATTTTATTCGTCACCCGGAGCACACGCTAGCCTCCCCGTTCCCATGGCAACCGGCCTGCCCTCGCTAAACATGGCGGCCGCGCCGGCCTCGCCGCCGCCGCGGGCATGCGCGGGGCGGGGCTATGCCCAGCGAGCGCCGCCGCTCGCCTCCTTCCCCTAGTCGGCGGGCCGCGGGCCAATAAGCGCCGGTTCCGCGGCGGCGGAGGAGGCGGGCGGAGGCAGCAGCCAATGGCCGCGCCGCGTGGCGTCAATGCGCCTCGCTCTCGCCCGGAGCCGTCG